TTTGCACGGTCGTCGCATACGTTTGGAGTTACTTATGAATGTTGGTGATACCACCATGTGTTGTCCGCAGCAGCTGTCAAGATACCAGGTGTTGAAGTTGTCACGGCTTCGTCGCGCGACGCTGGCGATCTTGGGAGTGACGATGCGGTCGATGTCAATGTAGTAAGGTGAGAGATCATTCTCGTGCCTTGCGGGGCAATGCGCCAGCTGTCTCCCACCTCCTGGTTGAGATGGGTTGGGATGGGTTGCGGGGAGCACAGGTGGAATAGGCGGGGGTGATCAGTGCTTGAAGAATCTTTGGCACGCGCAGCACTATGCCCAAATCTTTGGCAATGCTGCTCACTGCGCTCTCACCCATCAACCTTGTCTAATTTCTGCGAGTCGGGGCGAAACTCAACCCCCGAGGCAACGTGGTTGTATGAAAGTAAGGCACGCGCAGCACTATCCCAAATCATTGGCAATGCTGCTCATTCCGCTCTCACCCACCTCCCTGCATCCCTCACTCCCACACACCTTGTCTAACTTCTGCGAGTCGGGGCGAAACTCAATCCCCGAGGCCACGTGCTTGTATGAAAGGTGAGGAAAGAACGGCACCAACACATAAGGCACGCGCGTCACTGCGTCCAAATCGTTGGCAATGCGCCAGCTGTCGCCCACCACCTGGATGGGAAGTTATGGTATGGGTTGGCATGGGTTGGGATGGGTTGAGATGAAACACATAAGGCACGCGCGTCACTACGTCCAAATCGTTGGCAATGCGCCAGCTGTCTCCCACCATCTGGTTGGGATGGTTTGGGATGGGTTAGGATGAAAACAAGTACAGCACGCGCCAGCTGTCGCCCAGCACCTGGTTGGGATGGGTTGGGATTGGTTGGGATGGGAGGAGGGAGGGGATCTTCAAATCGTTGGAGATGTACCAGTTGTCTCCCACGATCTGGTTGGGACGTTATGGTATGGGTTTGGATGGGTTGGGATGGGCTGGGATGGGTTTGGATGAAACAGGTAAGGCACATAGGCACAATGTCCAAGCAGTTCGGTTGGAGATGTATTTGTTGTCTCCCACAATGTGGTTCGGTTGGGTTGGGAAAGCTTGGGAAATGTTGGGAAAGGTTGGGATTGGTTGGGAGGAGGGGATGAGAGGGAGCGGGAAGGGGAACGGGGGGAGTGGGGGATGCCAAGAGGAGCGACAGAATCGAAGGAATAGGTGAGGTTACCCACCATGATTCTCATTGGAATTCTATAGTAGGGTTGAGCAAGAGGCGAACACGAACTTGTTCGCATTCGCCCCTTCACGAACACTGACGTTCGGCGAACCGAACAGTGTTCGGTTCGCCGAACAGCATTAGCAAAAAAAGGTGTTCGCCGTTCGCCTGTGAAGGCGAACACCTTGGTGTCGGAGGCGAACACGAACATGTTCGCCCCGGGACTACAATCACTATAGTCACACATGGCAGATATTGAATTTGCCCCCCCCTTCTTGCCATCTGATCCGACGGCGAAAATGGCATTTGGCGCCTTCGATCAGAGGGCATTCGCGACGAACACATTCGTATTCGTTTTTGCCCCGAAACGAACACGAACGTGTTCGTGTTCGTCGTGGCTCGGGCTTCCAAGACCAACCGAACACGAACATGTTCGGGCGAACACCGAACACGTTCGCCACGAACAATTTAAGCAAAAAAAAAAAACCTGCTCACTGTTAGTGCTAGCCCTCAATCTCACACTTTGTACTCTATATTTTCTAGATCCTAGAGTAGTGTAGTTTGCACTTTGTGTTTGGTTGGGTGTACACCTACATCCCAACCAAACCCAAATGTAATCTCCAAGCAATCTCCAGCCCATCAATTGGAGATTGCCTTGGGATTACCCCCAATCCCTAGGGATTGCCCACGATTCCCTCCCCCATCCATTCCTTGCCCATCTTGGATGCACTTAAGAGGTTGAAGCTCATTACTAATGTATCAGTTCTAAGCCTAAGTTGTGACACTCAAGCCTATTCTATAGACCGGTAAATGAATCCAATGCCGATGTGGGCAAACAGGGAGTTTTTTATATTTCTAAAAAAAACACCCTGCAATCTCAAGGTGAGGGGACAATTAGCACCTATAGACAGAACCCTTTGCCCATGTGAACAGATAGGGTGTTCTGAGGATTCTAAAAAACACCCTGCAACAATTACAAGGTGAGGGGACAATCAGCACCTATAGACAGAACCCTTTGCCCATGTGAACAGATCGGGTGTTCTGAGAATTCTAAAAAACACCCTGCAGCAATTACAAGGTGAGGGGACAATCAGCACCTATAGACAGAACACTTTGCACATGTGCCTGAATGACTTTTGAGTCGACTCAAAAGTCATCTCAAGGTGACGGGACAATCAGCACCTACAGAATCCCATGTGGCTGGAACCCTGCATAAATTGACTTGCACTTGCCCTTGGCCTTTCGCTGCTCTTTCTAAGCATTGTACTTAGGGACCTACCAACTAAGCAATACGCACCTGCTTGAAGCGAGCAGCAAAGTTACGGTTGCCCACACGGGGAGAGCCGAAGTTGTAGAGAGAGAGGGTGAAACCGTTCTGCCTGTGGTGGTGGTAATGAGGGATTGGAAAGAGGGGTGTGTATAACGACGGGGGAAGGAATTTGAGTCTCCTCACAAGCCACGCGGGGAGAGCCGAAGTTGTTGAGAGAGAGAGCAAACCCGTGCTGCCTGTGGTGGTGGTGAGAAGAGATTGGAAACAAGAGGACCTGTAGTTCATAAAAATATGCATATATTTTAGTATGAAATATATATTCTTGTATTAAATATGAGGTAGGCATGAGCAGGGGGCGGACACGAACATGTTCGTGTTCGCCAGCGGCGAACATGTCACCTTCGGTTCGCCGCGAACACTTTCAGGGAAAAGGGTGCTCGCTGTTCGCCTCCAGGGGCAACACCCTCATGTTCGCCGCGAGCGTGAACATGTTCATGCTCGCCTGTCACACCCCTCAATATAGCCACATTAACCAGTGTACAGCCCTAATTTGGCCTTAATGTTGAATTCGCCTACGATTTCAGCAGGTGTTGGTGGATTCCTGTTGGCCTGAGCCCCAAATGGCACTATAAAGCCTTAGCCAAAATCCTATATATTCTCCCTACTAACTACGCTACCCTATTTGTGTAGTTTAGGCTGGTGCCTAGTGTTGCTGGTGGGGAGTATGGGTTGTGGGTGGGAGGATCGTCAAGGTTTGAGCTCAAACTGAATATTCCGCGACCTAAATATGTTGGTCGCGGTGGCGAACACTTCTGTGTTCGGTGACACCCTCAGACGAACACTAGCGTTTTTGTGTTCGTCGCGGCTCGGCCTGCCGCGGCGAACCGAACGCGAACATGTTCGGGCGAACACGAACATGTTTGCCTCGAACACTTTAGGCCTGAAACATATTGTTAGAAAATATATTATAGCATGCTTAGACTTTTGAGCCAGTACACCAATTGAGGTGTACAGTTGGGTTGGGACTACACCCAACATTGGGTGTAGCTTTGCAGGTTGGGGTGCCAATCCAACCCAATTGTGGTGGAGCCCTCAAATGCACCCATTGGTCCTTAAAGCTGCGGTCTACATACCTGAAGCGAGAGCCATAGGTTTATTGAGAATTCTCAAAAATCACTTGAAAAAAGGGTAAGGTCGTAATCTCGCTTGGATGTGTGGGGGAGACTTTGTCTTACGCGAGTCCGCCAACCCAACCCCCTCATGAAATTGGTTGGCGTCGCCAGCACGCTTTGCATTCCTCGACCATGTGATCCTTGCTTCCGCTCAATTTGTTCCCCAATCATTGGGCGTCAAAGGGTGTGCAGACAGTTTACCCCCAAAAAACCACCTTCGAATGTAGACTGCAGCTCTAATGGTGGCAACACTTAGGGAATGTTGCCAACCCAACCCAATGGGCCATTGATTGGCAACACTTTCCCAAGTGTTGCCAACTTAACCCAATGGGCCATAGGTTGGCCCACTCTCCCAAGTGTTGCCAACCTAATCCAATAGGCCATAGGTTAGCCCATTCCACCAAGTTCCACCTCCCTCCGTTTTCCTTCCAAGCTTCTCTTCCCAACTATATATGCACACTTCTCATCTGATCAATTCAATGGTTTATTTTCAATTCTTGTTCTCAAACATTTAAGTGTTCGGTTCGCCACGAACATGTTCGTGGCGAACCAAACAGGTGTTCACCCTCCTGCTCAAGCCTAATATAAGGGCCCACTCAGTACGTTTCGTCATCACACAACCACCACTGGCCTTCTCAGACAGATATCACCCTCACCTTCATCCCTCTCACATCTTGAGGTCGGACTGGGTAAGGTTGTATGTGAAGGGAGTGGAGAGAACGCTGCCCAGACAGGCAGGTGGAACTCTTCACATCCATTGCAGTCACATCCACCACGCTCATCGCCTATTGTTGCCACACTCACTTGCGTTGCACCTTTATCGCGCCCACTTCTTCAGGTTGGACTGGGCCAGGTCGTATGTGAAGAGCGGTGGAGAGAGCTCCTCCCCACCCCATGCAAGCCAAGGCCTCTTCTTTTGCTTTCATCACACCACACCACACATCACCTATTTTACTTTTGAGAATTCTCAAAAGTGGCCCACTCACTTCTTCAGGTCGGACTGGGCACGAAGAGAGCTCTGTTTTGAGTCGACTCAAAAGAGAGCACTCTGCTCTGCAGGCAAGCTGTGGCCTTTTCTTGAGTTGTCGCATCCACCCATTACATTCATATTCAACCCACTCACCTACTTCCGTTGTCGCATTCAGATTCATCCCACTCACTTCTTCAGGTCACAGTCGTATGTGAAGATCGTGGAGAGTGGAGAGAGAGAGAGAGAGTAACCCAGCGTGTCATATTAACTGTCATGCTTCCCACTCACTTGAGGTCGGACTGGGCCAGGTCATATGTGAAGATCGTGGAGAGTGGAGAGAGAGAGAGAGTAACCCAGCGTGTCATATTAACCGTCATGCTTCCCACTCACTTCTTGAAGTCGGACTGGGCCAGGTCATATGTGAAGATCGTGGAGAGAGCGGCCCCCAGGCTGTGCCCCGTGACCATGATGTGATACCTGGTGGGGCATGAGGGTGGGTTGGTGGCATGGTGGGACACATGGCATGGTGGCATTGTCAGAAGATCGTGGAGAGAGCGGCCCCCAGGCTGTTTCCTGTGACCATGATGTGGTAACTGGGGGCATGAGGGCATGAGGGTGGGTTGGTGGCATGGTGATGGTGGCATGATGATGGTGGCATGTCAGGATGATGATGGCATGGTGATGACGGCATGATGATGACGGCATGATGATGATGGGATGGTGATGATGGCATGATGATGGTGGCATGGTGATGACGGCATGGCATGATGATGATGGGTGGCACGATGATGGTGGCATGGTGATGATAGCATGCTGATGATGGCATGATGATGGTGGCATGGTGATGAAGGTGGCATGGTGATGATGGCATGACAATGATGGCATGACAATGATGGCATGTCGATGATGGCCTGATGACGGTGATGGCTTGATGCCATTATTACACGAGGAAACGCATGGGCCATACAGACGGGTTACCCGGAGGCAAGAGGTGCCACGTAAAGTCATGACTCCTCTCTTGGGATCAATCGGGCTCACTTTTCGTTGGAGGAGAGGATTGCTCCAAAAGGATCCTAGCCTAGGATTGCTTTAAGCAGCGGAATGAGGCGGGGCGTCACGGACTCGAGTATTGAGACGTCTCAAAACTCGATCCCCAGGCTCACTCACTCACGTTGGCTCGAAACTCACTTTTCGTTGGAGGAGGAGAGGATTGCTTTGAGCAGCGGAATGAGGCGCGGCGTCACGGACTCGAGTATTGAGACGTCTCAAAACTCGATCCCCAGGCTCACTCACTCACGTTGGCTCGAAACTCACTTTTCGTTGGAGGAGGAGAGGATTGCTTTGAGCAGCGGAATGAGGCGCGGCGTCACGGACTTGTAGCTGTTCAGAAAGCCACGGTGCACCTGAGAGGGAGCAATGGGAACAGAGGGGCAAACAAGAGAGGTTGCTGAGAGCTTGAGGCGCAGTAGAGTGAGGAGCAGCGGAGTGAGGAGCAGCGGAGTGAGGAGCAGCGGAATGAGGAGCAGCGGAATGAGGAGCAGCGGAATGAGGAGCAGCGGAATGAGGAGCAGCGGAATGAGGAGCAGCGGAATGAGGAGCAGCGGAATGAGGAGCAGCGGAATGAGGAGCAGCGGAATGAGGAGCGGCGGAATGAGGAGCGGCGGAATGAGGAGCGGCGGAATGAGGAGCGGCGGAATGAGGAGCGGCGGAATGAGGAGCGGCGGAATGAGGAGCAGCGGAATGAGGAGCAGCGGAATGAGGAGCGGCTTCACGGACTTGTAGCCATCCAGAAAGCCGACATGCGCCTGAGAGGGAGTGTAGGAGAGAGGGAGTGGTAGGGGGAGGTACGTGGAGGTTTGGTGGTTTCACAACCACCTAGAGATTCGTGAAGCAATGGAAGTGTTACCAACGTTACAGATACTACATACATGCATCCAACTTCCAGTTCTGAGACGACTCGTGAGGCGCCTCAAAAGGAACGGAAGCGACTTTTGAGGCACCTCAGAAAGAATGGGAGTGCGGCCAGGCCAACGGAAACACATTCATCCAGCTTCCAGTCCTGAGTTGAAAAAGTTCCGTGTGACTCAAATTTCTGAGTTGTAACGAGCTGACATTTGAGTCGACTCAGAACTCAGACACAACGGAAGTGCGGCCAGGCCAACAGAAACACATTCATCCAGCTTCCAGTCCAGAACGACGTCTCAAAACTCGGATCTGAGTCGAATTTCCAAAAATACATCTAATCCAGTTTACATGCTTGTAGTGTGCTTCACGTTACCTTAACACCTGCCTTGTTGTCCTCTTCCGTTAGATCTGAGTCGAACCTGTGGTTGGGGGGAAGGGCGGAGGGAAGGGAGGAGGGAAGGGCGGAGGGAAGGGAGGAGGGAAGGGCGGAGGGAAGGGAGGAGGGAAGGGCGGAGGGAAGGGAGGAGGGAAGGGAGGAGGGAAGGGCGGAGGGAAGGGAGGAGGGAAGGGAGGAGGGAAGGGAGGAGGGAAGGGCGGAGGGAAGGGCGGAGGGAAGGGAGGAGGGAAGGGAGGAGGGAAGGGAGGAGGGAAGGGCGGAGGGAAGGGAGGAGGGAAGGGAGGAGGGAAGGGAGGAGGGAAGGGAGGAGGGAAGGGAGGAGGGAAGGGAGGAGGGAAGGGCGGAGGGAAGGGCAGAGGGAAGGGAGGAGGGAAGGGAGGAGGGAAGGGCGGAGGGAAGGGAGGAGGAAAGGGAGGAGGGAAGGGAGGAGGGAAGGGCGGAGGGAAGGGAGGAGGGAAGGGCGGAGGGAAGGGCGGAGGGAAGGGCAGAGGGAAGGGAGGAGAGTGGTGGGAGAGGTTGAAGTGAATAGAGTTGAGGGAAGGAAGGGAGGAAGGAGATCAAAAGATCAAGATGAGCTGATTGGGATGTTTTCATACACGCATTAGGCTTATTACTTGGGCTTTGTATGGACATCTGGTGATGTATATGTATTTCAGCTCTTGGGCAACTAATGAGCATTCCCAAAATAATGTGCAGGTGCAGCACTCACTCCCTGTCCTTGTGCAGGTGCAGCACTCACTCCCTGTCCTTGTGCAGGTGCAGCACTCACTCCCTGTCCTTGTGCAGGTGCAGCACTCACTCCCTGTCCTTGTGCAGGTGCAGCACTCACTCCCTGTCCTTGTGCAGGTGCAGCACTCACTCCCTGTCCTTGTGCAGGTGCAGCACTCACTCCCTGTCCTTGTGCAGGTGCAGCACTCACTCCCTGTCCTTGTGCAGGTGCAGCACTCACTCCCTGTCCTTGTGCAGGTGCAGCACTCACTCCCTGTCCTTGTGCAGGTGCAGCACTCACTCCCTGTCCTTGTGCAGGTGCAGCACTCACTCCCTGTCCTTGTGCAGGTGCAGCACTCACTCCCTGTCCTTGTGCAGGTGCAGCACTCACTCCCTGTCCTTGTGCAGGTGCAGCACTCACTCCCTGTCCTTGTGCAGGTGCAGCACTCACTCCCTGTCCTTGTGCAGGTGCAGCACTCACTCCCTGTCCTTGTGCAGGTGCAGCACTCACTCCCTGTCCTTGTGCAGGTGCAGCACTCACTCCCTGTCCTTGTGCAGGTGCAGCACTCACTCCCTGTCCTTGTGCAGGTGCAGCACTCACTCCCTGTCCTTGTGCAGGTGCAGCACTCACTCCCTGTCCTTGTGCAGGTGCAGCACTTACTCCCTGTCCTTGTGCAGGTGCAGCACTCACTCCCTGTCCTTGTGCAGGTGCAGCACTCACTCCCTGTCCTTGTGCAGGTGCAGCACTCACTCCCTGTCCTTGTGCAGGTGCAGCACTCACTCCCTGTCCTTGTGCAGGTGCAGCACTCACTCCCTGTCCTTGTGCAGGTGCAGCACTCACTCCCTGTCCTTGTGCAGGTGCAGCACTCACTCCCTGTCCTTGTGCAGGTGCAGCACTCACTCCCTGTCCTTGTGCAGGTGCAGCACTCACTCCCTGTCCTTGTGCAGGTGCAGCACTCACTCCCTGTCCTTGTGCAGGTGCAGCACTCACTCCCTGTCCTTGTGCAGGTGCAGCACTCACTCCCTGTCCTTGTGCAGGTGCAGCACTCACTCCCTGTCCTTGTGCAGGTGCAGCACTCACTCCCTGTCCTTGTGCAGGTGCAGCACTCACTCCCTGTCCTTGTGCAGGTGCAGCACTCACTCCCTGTCCTTGTGCAGGTGCAGCACTCACTCCCTGTCCTTGTGCAGGTGCAGCACTCACTCCCTGTCCTTGTGCAGGTGCAGCACACTCCCTGTCCTTGTGCAGGTGCAGCACTCACTCCCTGTCCTTGTGCAGGTGTAGCACTCACTCCCTGTCCTTGTGCAGGTGCAGCACTCACTCCCTGTCCTTGTGCAGGTGCAGCACTCACTCCCTGTCCTTGTGCAGGTGCAGCACTCACTCCCTGTCCTTGTGCAGGTGCAGCACTCACTCCCTGTCCTTGTGCAGGTGCAGCACTCACTCCCTGTCCTTGTGCAGGTGCAGCACTCACTCCCTGTCCTTGTGCAGGTGCAGCACTCACTCCCTGTCCTTGTGCAGGTGCAGCACTCACTCCCTGTCCTTGTGCAGGTGCAGCACTCACTCCCTGTCCTTGTGCAGGTGCAGCACTCACTCCCTGTCCTTGTGCAGGTGCAGCACTCACTCCCTGTCCTTGTGCAGGTGCAGCACTCACTCCCTGTCCTTGTGCAAGTGCAGCACTCACTCCCTGTCCTTGTGCAGGTGCAGCACTCACTCCCTGTCCTTGTGCAGGTGCAGCACTCACTCCCTGTCCTTGTGCAGGTGCAGCACTCACTCCCTGTCCTTGTGCAGGTGCAGGCCGCAGGTCTTTGTGGAGTGGACAAGTACTCACTTGTGCTTGTGCTTGTGCACGTGCAGCCACATTTGAGGCTGCAACCGCATGCGTGCAGGTGCAGCCTCAGGTCCGTGTGACGCGACTTTGAACTTCGTCTGGTGAGTATCAAGTGTGAGATTATGGTGCCTGCACGATTATGCGCACGTGTGTGTGCCACTCACTGGTTCTCGAGGACCCTAGTCAAGTCAAAGAAAGCCTCAGGTCCGTGTGACGCGACTATGAACTTCATCGGGTGAGGCTCAAGTGTGAGATTATGGTGCATGCATGGTTATACACATGTGTGTGTGCCACTCACGGGTTCTCCCAAAGCCTAAAGTCGGTCAGAACATCCATCCACGAAATCTTAAACTTCTGGAGATCCTGTTGGTTGGTGGTGGATGGGAGTGAATGGGTGTGAGAGGGTGTGAATGGGTGTGAGAGGGTGTGAATGGGTCAGAACAACCATCCACGAAATCTTAAACTTCTGGAGATCCTGGTGGTTGGTGGTGAATGGGTGTGAATCGGTGTGAGAGGGTGTGAATGGGTTAGAACATCCATCCACGAAATCTTAAACTTCTGGAGATCCTGTTGGTTGGTGGTGGATGGGAGTGAATGGGTGTGAGAGGGTGTGAATGGGTGTGAGAGGGTGTGAATGGGTCAGAACATCCATCCACGAAATCTTAAACTTCTGGAGATCCTGTTGGTTGGTGGTGGATGGGTGTGAATGGGTGGGAGAAGGTGTGAATGGGTCAGAACATCCATCCACGAAATCGTAAACTTCTGGAGATCCTGTTGGTTGGTGGTGGATGGGAGTGAATGGGTGTGAGAGGGTGTGAATGGGTGTGAGAGGGTGTGAATGGGTGTGAGAGGGTGTGAATGGGTCAGAACATCCATCCACGAAATCTTAAACTTCTGGAGATCCTGTTGGTTGGTGGTGGATGGGAGTGAATGGGTGTGAGAGGGTGTGAATGGGTCAGAACATCCATCCACGAAATCTTAAACTTCTGGAGATCCTGGTGGTGGTTGGTGAATGGGGAAGCACAGGACCAAGGAGAGAGGGTGTGAGAGTGTGAGAGAGGGTGTGAGAGCGTCAGGTGGGGGACTATGCTCATGAAGGAGAGAAAGGGGAGGGCCATTAGTTGCAATGCAATGCCTGTTGGCAACCAAAAATGGGAAAGGAGCAAGGAAAGTGGATAGGAAGGAAGGTAGAATTATCAAGGTGAATCCTTGATAGTACATATCGCTTGCCAGTTCGCGCCTGTGCATCCTTCAAACCTTCTGGAAATAGTACTTTTGTTTTTCTAGATACCAACTCCACCTGTTCAGTTCCCACATGTCGAATTCCCCATCTCTTCAGTTCTCCAGTCCCCCATCTCTTCAGTTCCCACCTGCCCACTTCCCACCTGCCCACTTCCCACCTGTCCAGTTCCCACCTGCCCAGTTCCCACCTGCCCAGTTCCCACCTGTCCAGTTCCCACCTGTCCGTTGTCAAACGAGGTCTCACTTACAAACTCTGTGCCTCGGAACGCCACCACTAGCCTCTTCCTCAGCGGGTCCTTGTCCCTCCACACGAACACCTGCACGCCCGAGTCCAGATTGCAGCGAAGCAAACAGCAGTGAAGCAACAACAGCAAAACGCGTTAAACAGACTTGGGCAAACGTGCAATGACTCCCCACACATGCCCTGATAGCAGCAGCAGCGAAAAAAACAGTTGTGGTGAAACAACAGCGACGCAACAGGGAGACGAGAACGACGAGTATCGACGACCACATCTGCACAGAAAGTAACTTAAGAAGCGTTTTTTACCCTGCAACTTTCGAGAATTCTAAAAAAACACTGAGCAACTTTTGAGAATTCTAAGAAACGACAACAAGAATCCACGACCACATCTAAACAGGAAGTATCTTGGGAGACGATGGGGGCTTGGGGAGGGATGCCTCAAAACGCGACTCAAAACGCGACCTTAAACGCAACTCAAAACGCGACTCAAAACGCGCCTCAAAGGCAACTCAGAAGCCACCCACCTGAGTGTCCGTCCTGTCACCGCTCAGAAAACACACGCACTCAAACGCCGACTTGAAGAATTCCTGCTGCTCGCCCGCAGCTGCCCGCGAAAGGTTCTCCCAGGCGGCGAGCTTCACGGCATCGGCACCACTGGAAAAAAGAGTTTCAACTGCCTGTTGGTCCGTGAGTGTGAGCCCATAGGCTGCTGCTTCGTCTACAGCTTTTGAGCCTGCCTGGGGTACTGTTGCGGACTTGGGAAGCGGGGCGTCAATAAGCTTCTGGAGGATGGGGAGAGGCTCGAAGCTGGGGTGGGTGGGGAGGGCAGGGAGGCTGGGAGGAGATGCAGGGGAAGTGGGGGAATCGAATGGGGTGAGTTTGATGCACATATGGGGCAGAATAGCATGTGAGAGTGAGAGCAAGACGCAGGCCTGTGTGGGTGGGAAGAGAGAGAGGGAGCCTGTGAAAAGGCGGAAGTGGGAAGAGGGGTGCTGAGAGAAAGGTCTGGGGGATGGGTAGAGGCTCAAAACTGAGGGGAGAGCAGGGAGGGACTAAGTGATAGGAGTAGTGAACTTAGAAGGTTCTCTTAAATTCTGTGAGAGGGTCCAAACAGAAGCAACATGAGGAGGACGAAACTACTGCGAGACAAAAAAAAAAAAAAAAAAAAAGAGTCGAGTAAAAAAAATATGAATTTACTAAATTCAAGAGAACCTTCTAAGCAAGCTCCATACATGAAGCAACGCAAGCTCGCATAGTCCACCTGCCATAGGCGCTGCCTCTCTGGCGGACCCTCCCCTACTCCCCACGCACACTCACCCATCCATCACTTTCCCATCCCTCACTCTCCCATCCATCACTCTCCCATCCCTCACTCTCCCATCCCTCACTCTCCCATCCCTCATTCTCCCATCCCTCATTCTCCCATCGCCCATTTTCCCATCCCTCACTCTCCCATCCTTCACTCTCCCATCCCTCACTCTCCCGCTCCTCACTCTTCCATCCCTCAATCTCCCACCCCTCACTCTAACTCTCCCATCCCTCACTCTCACATCCCCTCTCTCTCGAATGGTCCGTGTATTAGCTGAAGGGTGGTACAAAGGTTTGAATCAGACACATGCAAACTAGGCAAACAAGCAGACCTATCAACCATCACCTACTCCCCTCACCCCCCCCGCTGTCCGACCCTAGTGGTCGGACGGGGGCTCAATCAGCTGGTGCAGCTGCCCCTCGTTGAGAGGGGCCCACGGCCCTTGCAGGCTGAGCTCGTCCGCCTCCAGGGCCTCATTGGTCTTGGTGCGGAGGGCGTTTGCCTGCGCCCTCTGGAGGCACACGCTCCAGCGCTGGCGGTACTCCGTCAGCAGCTTGGCAGCCTCTCGAGAGGTAGGGGCCGCGTTGTAGCGGAGCTTCGCAGCCAGCTCTCCGCATTGCCGCAGGTAAGCCAGCACCCCCGGCGACGGGTAGCCGTAGGTCTCCACGGCCAAGGCGTGGAACCCCACCCACGCGTTCCGTCCCGCATATTTCTCCTCGTTCCGAGCAGCCGCCGCCCTAGCCGCCCAACCAGGTGCGCGGTTGCAGTTCTCGTCCTGGTAGGACACCGGGTCGGTCACGGTCACATCACAAAGCCACACTTCTCCGGTCAGGGGATGGCGGATGGAGACATCCGCTTTAAGGTTTTCAACCAGAGAGTAGGCATAGGTCTCCTTGTGAACCGTGAAGCCTGCTTCCGCCCCTATCCTTGCGATTTCATCCCTGAGAGCATGGTGTGTGGCAGTCCTCCCTTTCCCCTTCTCGCAGCGCATAAGGTGATTCGGGAGGCGGTCATCAGGGAAGGTGGTGCGGTATCGGCAGTCGCACCGCCTTGGGACAGGGAGGGGGAGGCCTAGGCGGAAGGAGGAAGCAGTAGAGTGTTGGGAGGGGCCCAGCCTCAGCGCAGAAGAGAGTGGGATTGCCAGCAGCCAGTCCCTTGCTCCCGGGCCCAGCAGGGACTGCATCCGCTGAGCATGCCCTGAGAGGGGGTTTGGGCGCATACGCCGCGCCGTGTTCAGCACTCGGAGGTAGCGGCGGGTGTGGACCGCCAGGGCCAGGGACTGCTGGAGCTTCAGTCCCTTGGGGTCGCTCTTACCAGCCTGAAGGGCCTCCAGGCCGTCAGGGGGCAGGGCCGCTTCAGCTGCAGCTAGGCGCGAGGGCAGGGCCGCTGCGGAGTCTGGGGCGGAGTCCATAAGGGGGAGCAGTGCGGCTATGGCGGGGTGTAGGGAGTCGGCTAGCGAGTGCAGGAGGTGAGCCGCGCCGACCACCGAAGCGAGGTACGCGTAACTCCCTTCCACGGCCGGGTCCGTAATTCCCAAACCCCCCAAGGTAACGGGGAGCGCTGCCTGCCGCCAAATACGCCTCCTTTCCGCGTTGCTCCTTGGCGCGACAATGTGCGCGGCCTCTAGGAACGCGTGGAGCAGCCCCTCCCCCCATGCCGACCATTCTGCTGTGGGCAGGACCTCCAGCGGGGTTGTCCTTGCCAGGAAGGAGGCGCGGCGGCTGACGCAACGTGTGAGGAGGAGGCAGAGCTGCGGGTCCATTTGCGCTAGCAACGGGAGCAGTTCAGCTGCTGCCGTAAGTCTGTCCCTGACTGCCGCGGCGCAGCCCTGCGTTGTGCCGACGGGGCTGCCGAGGATTTGCAGCCCTTCGGTCGAGATGGTGATGCCGGGGGGGACGGAGGCAGGGTCAATTGGGGCGGCGGACCAAGCCGCGCACTTAGCAGGGTTGTGAAGGAGCCCCATGGAGGCGAGCGCGGCTGTGAGGTGGTCGAATGCCGCGGCGCAGGCAGACGCATCACCGAGCAGCGTGATGTCGTCGGCGTAGGCGAGTAGGACCACCTGCGGGTGAGCCGCTGCCGTCGCAACGAGGCAGGGGTGGATGCTGGCGGCGAATAGAAGGGGGCCGAGGGGATCACCTTGGCGGACCCCCCTGGCGCTTTGCAGTGGAGCCGCTGCGAACTCATGGTCGAGGAAGAGCGAGGAGGGGACTCCGTAAGACAGGCGGACCAGGGGGGTGAGGCTTTCGAGCGCTTCGTTCCTCAACCCCTCGAACACCGCTCTCCTCTCGACCGCGTTGAACGCGTTCGCGAGGTCGATCTGTAGCGCTACTGCCGCGGGATGGACCTCCAGGTAAGTACGTGCCGTGTGTATAGCGGCCTCAATGCCCCCCGCTACTGCCACGCCGAACTGAAGGGGGACGAAGTGAGATCTAGCGGTGGGCGCGATCAGGAAAAGAGCGGCTTTGGCGATGATCCGAAGTAGGCATTCCCCAACCGCGATCGGCCTCGTCCCACCGTGCGGTTTCGTGAAGGCCAAAAGACGAGAGGCGGTAAATAGCTCTCCCGCAACGGCTGGTAGCTTCCCCGCCAGAGCCGTGTTGGTGAGGGCTAGGAGGTGGGTGAAGACTTCGGCGTTTCCTAGTGCTGCATCACGGAGATGTTCGAAGGTAGTTCCTGAGGGGCCCGCCCCCACTCCATTGGGGAGCTTGGCGATGATCCTTCTGAAGTCGCGGGCTTCGATGGCGGGAGGGTTTTCCGCTGTGGCAGCGTGCAGCCAATCAGGTAGCGGTTGGGATGCAGGTGGGTGTCTCGTCCTGAGGGCCTCGAGAACTTCAGGTGAGGCAGGCGACACGGGCGTGGCTTGCAGGGATTGCAACAATTTTGAGAGGTTACCACGCTTCGCCAGGCCCTCCGCTCTGGCGAGAATTCCAGTTGTGTCAGGTGCGTGGCGAGGCTGCGGGGGGAGGGAGATCGATTCGGCAGCTTCTTCGTAGAGGCCGGCCCAGAGCCCTTGGCGAAATCGCAGGAGCCTGTTCATCATTGCGCTCCAGTCAGGCTTGCGAGCTGACGAGGAGCGAAGAAGTAAGCGAGGGAGGAAGGTGAGTAACATCCAGCCATGTTCTGACTCGGGGTTGGCTGCCAGGTGGAGTAACGGTGTCAGCAGGCAAATCGCGAAAGACTCGCGAAGGTCTTTTGGAGGGTGGCGGGCGACTGGGGGTTGGCGACTGTCGCGTAGCGGGCCAATGTCCCAGTCAGCAACCTGGGCGAACAGGTCAGTATTTTTCGCCAGGTCGTCGGGTTTGAGCATTGGGGGGGTCGGAATTGGGGCTGCTGCATTCTCATTGGCTGTCGCAGAGTCAACTCCAGTCTCTGTGGCGGCTCGATTTCTCCTCCTTGCGTGATTTCCCCCCGCGGCTCGGTTCTGAGCTGTGGTTCGGTTGGCAGGTTCGCCTCGGACATTTGGGCTGGGGAGCTCCTCTCCCCGAAGCAAAAGTTCCAATTCCTCCTCGTCCTCCTCAGCTTCTGCTCCCAACATCCCCTCTCTTTCAGGGTTAAAAGCAGGGTCACCCTCGTCGCTTTCCTCATTCTCCACTTCCTCCTCTGCCTCCTCGCTAAGCGGTTCCTCGCCGCCCTCCGCGCCGTTTCGCATCAGCCTTTCCGCATTTCTCGCGTAGCCGCTTGCACCAGTGCGGCGCCTGTTTGAACCCCGTGTTCCACCACCTCTTCGTCCTCTCTCGTTAGCTCGTCGTCCGCGGCGGCTGCCGCGTCCCACGCGGATTCCACGCGTTGCTCTTCCAACTGCAGCTCCCTCGCGCCCTGTCTGCGGCGCCGCGACCGTCTCGTTTTCGCTTCGTCGGCGCGCTGGCGTCGGCTGCGGTACGATCGGGGGTGATGGACCCATCCGCGAGACGGGATCCGGAGCTGGAGGGTTCCGCGGAGAGCGCGCTGCCGGAGCCTGCGCCTGCCGGGCCTCGTCCGCGTCTCCTTGCGCACCCCTCCGCAAGCGAGCCCGTCCGCCGCTTCGAGCGGGTGCAAACACTTCCCCATCGGCCTGCCGCGCGCCCCACCTCGCTGGAGTATTCGTGGGCGCCTGCACGTGTTGCGTCGAACCGCCCGGACGGTCAGCCGCGGCATGAGCGCGGGCGCTCGCCTCCACGTCAGCCACCTCGGCCGCCCTCTCCTCGCCGCCCTTCTCCTGAGCATCGCGAGCACTATCAGCGCGGGGAGGGGGATCAGCGCTCCCCTGCACGTCCTCGCTCTCCTCGCCGCCCATCCCCTCGTGGTCGAGCAGGCCAGCGCTCACCCCGAGCGCGATCCCCCGCGCAACGCTCTCCGCGGCGATCTCCGGCGACGCGGGGGAGGGGGTCGCCTGGGCGTCGCTGGGATTCGGGTCGCCGCGAGCAGTCCCCCCCGCGTCCACATTCGGCTGGTTCCGGGGGACGGCGGGGCCGGCGGAATGGCGGAGGGCGAGGCGGGAATGGCAACCAGCCGGATCCTGCCCTCGATCGCGCCGCGAACACGTTCGTGGAGGTGGTGAGGCACGCCCGGGCGAGTGGGGCGCCGACTCACGTCCACATTGAGGTGACCAACGGTCCCCCCTTCGCCGCGGACCCCGGCCAGGTTGCTCCTCTGCGCGCGCCGACGCTGCGCAAATATCAGCCCGCGCGTGAGGGGAGGGCTCAGTTCCGCACCCCCCGTCAGGTCCCCGGCTTCTCTGCGCCGCGCTTATCTGTTGGCCGGACTCCTGGCTGGCCGACGGCGTTTCCGCGCGAAGCGCTGACTGCACCTCCCCCCACTCGCGCGGGGAGAGACCCCATGCTGACCATGTGCCGGATTCTGAATCTGGCGGAGGCGTGCGAGGTGGTGGCGAACTTGCAGCTGGCGGTGTGTGGGGCCACGCGGAGCTTTCCGAGCAGTTTCGGTTCAGGATCCCGAGGATCATGCATGACTTTGGCAGAATCGCTCGAGTCGCCGTTGGCACCCGTGTCGGATGCGCCCGCCGGGGTAGCTCCCTTAGCCCGTACTTTCCCCCGCCACGTGGGGGATCTTGTAGGGGCTGCTCAAGCCGGGACCCCCTTGGACACGCTCCAGTCGTCGGTGCATCTCCTTCTTGCAGTATCGGCGTGCATGCGCTCGATGCTTAAGGTGGAGGGGGCGGAGCCGTACACGATGTAGGCCTCCGCCGCGTGTAGAATTGCATGCCGCGCCTCTTGCTCTTGCCCAGCTCCTTGCCTTTGTGTGTGTGTGTGCCCTTTATAAGCCGAACCCACGTTCTGTGTCTTGCCACCAGGAACGCGCGGCCGAAGGCCGCCGGCGCGAGCCGCCGAAAATGAAACACCCACGAAATAATGGGGCAGGGAAGGCACAGAGGGCCCCTTAAATAGGCTCAGAGGGAGAGGGCAGGGGGAAGAGGGAGAGGGCTGGATGCTAAGGCCTTCTCTCTCTCGCTCTCTCTCCGCCGAAAATGAAACACCCACGAAATAATGGGGCAGGGAAGGCACAGAGGGCCCCTTAAATAGGCTCAGAGGGAGAGGGCAGGGGGAAGAGGGAGAGGGCTGGATGCTAAGGCCTTCTCTCTCTCGCTCTCTCTCTGCCGAAAATGAAACACCCACGAAATAATGGGGCAGGGAAGGCACAGAGGGCCCCTTAAATGGGCTCAGAGGGAGAGGGCAGGGGGAAGAGGGAGAGGGCTGGATGCTAAGGCCTTCTCTCTCTCGCTCTCTCTCCGCCGAAAATGAAACACCCACGAAATAATGGGGCAGGGAAGGCACAGAGGGCCCCTTAAATAGGCTCAGAGGGAGAGGGCAGGGGGAAGAGGGAGAGGGCTGGATGCTAAGGCCTTCTCTCTCTCTCTCTCTCTCGAACGGTCCGTCGTATTAATATCATCAAGGTACACACAGGGTAAGGTAGCGAGCCACACACAACAAGGCCACATGTGCAATCTCCTATCCTAACACCACTACCGCCGCCCCTTTTCCCTCCCGGCCCTAGTGGCCGGAGGGGTCTTCTATCAGTTGGTACAGCTGGCCTTCGCTCAGTGGGGTGAACGGTCCCTGCAGGCCTAGCGCATCCGCGGTAAGAGCCTCATGGGTCTTATCCCTGAGGGCGTTGGCTTGGGCTCTCTCTCTCTCTCGAATGGTCCGTGTATTAGCTGAAGGGTGGTACAAAGGTTTGAGGCAGACACATGCAAACAAGGCAAACAAGCAGGCCTATCAACTATCACCTAACCCCCTCCCCCCCCCAATGTCCGACCCTAGAGGTCAGACTGGGGCTCAATCAGCTGGTGCAGCTGCCCCTCGTTGAGAGGGGCCCATGGCCCTTGCAGGCTGAGCTCGTCCGCCTCCAGGGCCTCATTGGTCTTGGTGCGGAGGGCGTTTGCCTGTGCCCTCTGGAGCCAACTCCGCGCACTGCCGCAGGTAGGCTAGCACCCCCGGCGACGGGTAGCCGTAGGTCTCCACGGCCAAGGCGTGGAACCCCATCCACGCATTCCGTCCCGCATATTTCTCCTCCTTCCGAGCGGCCGCCGCCCTAGCCGCCCAACCAGGTGCGCGGTTGCAGTTCTCGTCCTGGTAGGACACCGGGTCAGTCACGGTCACATCACAAAGCCACACCTCTCCGGTCAGGGGATGGCGGATGGAGACATCCGCTTTAAGGTTTTCAACCAGAGAGTAGGCATAGGTCTCCTTGTGAACCGTGAAGCCTGCTTCCGCCCCTATCCTTGCGATTTCATCCCTGAGAGCATGGTGTGTGGCAGTCCTCCCTTTCCCCTTCTCGCAGCGCATAAGGTGATTCGGGAGGCGGTCATCAGGGAAGGTGGTGCGGTATCGGCAGTCGCACCGCCTTGGGACAGGGGCCTAGGCGGAAGGAGGAGGCAGTAGAGTGTTGGGAGGGGCCCAGCCTCAGCGCAGAAGAGAGTGGGATTGCCAGCAGCCATTCCCCTGCTCCCGGGCCCAGCAGGGACTGCATCCGCTAAGCATGCCCTGAGAGGGGGTTTGGGCGCATGCGCCGCGCCGTGTTCAGCACTCGGAGGTAGCGGCGGGTGTGGACCGCCAGGGCCAGGGACTGCTGGAGCTTCAGTCCCTTGGGGTCGCTCTTACCAGCCTGAAGGGCCTCCAGGCCGTCAGGGGGCAGGGCCGCTTCAGCTGCAGCTAGGCGCGAGGGCAGGGCCGCTGCGGAGTCCGGGGCGGAGTCCATAAGGGGGAGCAGTGCGGCTATGGCGGGGTGTAGGGAGTCGGCTAGCGAGTGCAGGAGGTGAGCCGCGCCGACCACCGAGGCCAGGTACGCGTAAGTCCCCTCCACCGCCGGGTCCGTAATGCCTAAACCCCCCAAGGTAACGGGGAGCGCTGCCTGCCGCCAAATACGCCTCCTTTCCGCGTTGCTCCTTGGCGCAACAATGTGCGCGGCCTCTAGGAACGCGTGGAGCAGCCGCTCCCCCCATGCCGACCATTCTGCTGTGGGCAGGACCTCCAGCGGGGTTGTCCTTGCTAGGAAGGAGGCGCGGCGGCTGACGCAACGTGTGAGGAGGAGGAGGCAGAGCTGCGGATCCATTTGCGCTAGCAACGGGAGCGGTTGCGCTGCTGCCGTAAGTCTGTCCCTGACAGCCGCGGCGCAGCCCTGCGTTGTGCCAACGGGGCTGCCGAGGATCTGCAGCCCTTCGGTCGAGATGGTGATGCCGGGGGGGACGGAGGCAGGGTCAATTGGGGCGGCGGACCAAGCCGCGCACTTAGCAGGGTTGTGAAGGAGCCCCAGGGAGGCGAGCGCGGCTGTGAGGTGGTCGAAGGCCGCGGCGCAGGCAGACGCATCACCCAGCAGCGTGATGTCGTCGGCGTAGGCGAGTAGGACCACGTGCGGGCGAGCCGCTGCCGTCGCGACGAGGCAGGGGTGGATGCTGGCGGCGAATAGAAGGGGGCCGAGGGGATCACCCTGGCGGACCCCCCTGGCGCTTTGCAGTGGAGCCGCTGCGAACTCATGGTCGAGGAAGAGCGAGGAGGGGACCCCGTAAGACAGGCGGACCAGGGGGGTGAGGCTCTCGAGCGCTTCGTTCCTCAACCCCTCGAACACCGCGCTCCTCTCGACCGCGTTGAACGCATTCGCGAGGTCGATCTGTATAGCGGCCTCGATGCCCCCCGCTACCGCCACGCCGAACTGTAGGGGGACGAAGTGAGATCTAGCGGCGGGCGCGATCAGGAAAAGGGCGGCTTTGGCGATGATCCGAAGTAGGCACTCCCCAACAGCGATCGGCCTCGTCCCACCGTGGGGTTTCGTGAAGGCCAAAAGACGAGAGGCGGTAAGTAGCTCTCCCGCAACGGCTGGTAGCTTCCCTGCCAGCGCCGTGTTGGTGAGGGCTAGGAGGTGGGTGAAGACTTCAGCGTTTCCCAGTGCTGCATCACGGAGATGTTCGAAGGTAGTTCCCGAGGGGCCCGCCCCTACTCCATTGGGGAGCTTGGCGATGATCCTTCTGAGGTCGCGGGCTTCGATAGCGGGAGGATTTTCCGCCGTGGCAGCGTGCAGCCAATCAGGTAGCGGTTGGGTTGCGAGTGGGTGTCTCGTCCTGAGGGCCTCAAGAACTTCAGGTGAGGCGGGCGAAACGGGCGTGGCTTGCAGGGATTGCAACGATTTTGAGAGGTTACCACGCTTTGCCAGGCCCTCCGCTCTGGCGAGAATTCCAGTTGTGTCAGGGGCGTGGCGAGGCTGCGGGGGGAGGGAGATCGATTCGGCAGCTTCTTCGTAGAGGCCGGCCCACAGCCCCTGGCGAAAACGCAGGAGCCTGTTCATCATCGCGCTCCAATCAGGCTTACGGGCTGACGAGGAGCGAAGAAGAAGGCGAGGGAGGAAGGTGAGTAACAACCAGCCAGGTTCTGACTCGGGGTTGGCTGCCAGGTGGAGTAGCGGTGTCAGCAGGCAGATCGCGAAAGACTCGCGAAGGTCTTTTGGAGGGTGGCGGGCAACTGGGGGTTGGCGACTGTCTCGCAGCAGGCCAATGTCCCAGTTGGCAACCTGGGCGAACAGGTCAGTATTTTTCGCCAGGTCGTCGGGTTTGAGCATTGGGGGGGTTGGAATTGGGGCTGCTGCATTCTCATTGGCCGTCGCAGAGTCAACTCCAGTCTCTGTCGCGGCTCGATTTCCCCCCCTCGCGTGGTTTCCCCCCGCGGCTCGGTTCTGGGCTGTGGTTCGGTTGACAGGTTCGCCTCGGACATTTGGGTTGGGCAACTCCTCTCCTCGAAGCAAAAGTTCTAACTCCTCCTCGTCATCCTCAGCTTCTGCTCCCAACATCCCCTCTCTTTCAGGGTTAAAAGCGGGGTCACCCTCGTCGCTCTCCTCATTCTCCACTTCCTCCTCTGCCTCCTCGCTAGGCGGTTCCTCGCCGCCCTCCGCGCCGTTTCGCATCAGCCTTTCCGCATTCCTCGCGTAGCCGCTTGCGCCAGTGCGGCGCCTGTTTGAACCCCGTGTTCCACCGCCTCTTCGTCCTCTCTCGTTACCTCGTCGTCCACGGCGGCTGCCACGTCCCACGCGGATTCCACGCGTTGCTCTTCCAACAGCCGCTCCCTCGCGCCCCGTCTGCGGCGCCGCGACTGTCTCGCGTTCGCTTCGTCGGCGCGCTGGCGTCGGCTGCGGTACGATCGGGGGTGATGGATCCATCCGCGAGACGGGATCCGGAGCTGGAGGGTTCCGCGGAAAGCGCGCTGCCGGAGCCTGCGCCTCCCGGGCCCCGTCCGCGTCTCCTTGCGCACCCCTCCGCGAGCGAGCCCGTCCGCCGCTTCGAGCGGGTGCAAACACTACCCCATCGGCCTGCCGCGCGCCCCACCTCGCCGGAGTATTCGTGGGCGCCGGCACGTGTTGCGTCGAACCGTCCGGAAGGTCAGCCGCGGGATGATCGCGCGCGCTCGCCTCCACGTCAGCCTCCTCGGCAGCTCTCTCCTCGCCGCCCTTCTCCTGAGCGTCGCGAGCACTATCAGCGCGGGGAGGGGGATCAGCGCTCCCGTGCATGTCCTCGCTCTCCTCGCCGCCCATCCCCTCGTGGTCGGGCAGGCCAGCGCTCACTCCGAGCGCGATCCCCCGCGCAACGCTCTCCGCAGCGATCTCCGGCGACGCGGGGGAGGGGGTCGCCTGGGCGTCGCTGGGATTCGGGTCGCCGCGAGCAGTCTCCCTCGCGTCCACATTCGGCTGGTTCCGGGGGACGGCGGGGCCGGCGGAATGGCGAAGGGCGGGGCGGGAATGGCCCCCAGCCGGATCCCGCCCTCGATCGCGCCGCGAACACGTTCGTAGAGGTGGTGAGGTAGGCCCGGGCGAGTGGGGCGCCGACTCACGTCCACATTGAGGTGACCAACGGTCCCCCCTTCGCCGCGGACCCCGTCCAGGTTGCTCCTCTGCGCGCACCGACGCTGCGCAAATATCAGCCCGTGCGTGAGGGGAGGACTCAATTCCGCACCCCCCATCACGTTCCCGGCTTCTCTGCGCCGCGCTTAACTGTTGGCCGGACTTCTGGCTGGCCGTCGGCGTATCCGCGCGAAGCGCCGACTGCACCTCCCCCCACTCGCGCGGGGAAAGACCCCATGCTGACCATGTGCCGGATACTGAATCCGGCGGAGGCGTGCGAGGGGGTGGCAAACTTGCAGCTGGCGGTGTGTGGGGCCACGCGGAGCTTTCCGAGCAATTTCGGTCCAGGATCCCGAGGATCCTGCGTGACTTTGGCAGAATCGCTTGAGTCGCCGTTGGCACCCGTGTCGGAAGCGCCCGCCGGGGTAGCTCCCTTAGCCCGTACTTTCCCCCGCCACGTGGGGGATCTTGTAGGGGCTGCTCAAGCCGGGACCCCCTTGGACACGCTCCAGTCGTCGGCGCATCTCCTTCTTGCAGTATCGGCGTGCATGCGCTCGATGCTTGAGATGGAGGGGGCGGAGCCGTACACGATGTAGGCCTCCGCCGCGTGTAGAATTGCATGCCGCGCCTTTTGCTCTTGCCCAGCTCCTTGCCTTGTGTGTGTGTGTTTGAGCCTGTTATATGACGTACACTCGTTTAGTGTCTTGCCACCAGGAGCGCGCGGCCGAAGGCCGCGCTTGCGAGCGGCGGCGGCCGAAGGCCGCCGGCGCGAGCCGCCGGAAATGAAAACACCCACGAAATAATGAGGCAGGGAAGGCACAGAGGGCCCCTTAAATAGAGTGCAGAGGGAGAGGGCAGAGGGAAGAGGGAGAGGGCTGGATGCTAAGGCCTTCTCTCTCTCGCTCTCTCTCCGCCGGAAATGAAAACACCCACTACTGCCGCCCCTTTTCCCTCCCGGCCCTAGTGGCCGGAGGGGTCTTCTATCAGTTGGTACAGCTGGCCTTCGCTCAGTGGGGTGAACGGTCCCTGCAGGCCTAGCGCATCCGCGGTAAGAGCCTCATGGGTCTTATCCCTGAGGGCGTTGGCTTGGGCTCTCTCTCTCTCTCTCTCTCTCTCTCTCTCTCTCTCTCTCTCTCTCTCTCTCTCTCTCTCTCTCTCTCTCTCTCCCTCTCTCTCTTACCCCCCCTACCTCTCGCGAGGATCGGAGAAGCTTGTATAGCCCACCTGCCAAAGGGGGAGGGGAGTGAGCAAGGCAAGCAAGCAAGACGCTTGGAGTAGGACGGGGCAGTGACAGTTGCACGGGGCAATGGACACTCAGTCACAGTTACAGATCCACAGAATGTAAAAGCGATTTTTGAGACGCCTCCAAAGTTGCACGATTTTTTAAGCGCCTCCAAAGTTGCACGCTTTTTGAGGCGCCTCAAAAGTTGCACGGGGCTATGGACAGTCAGTCGCAGTTACAGATTCACGGAATATGTAAAAGCTTCTTGACAGTGGAGTAAAAATCGCTTCTCAGAGAACGATTAATTTCTTCTCAACAACGCACATGCACAGGTAGCTTAACTTCAAAGAGAAGGACTACATTCGTGATCCAAACCTACCTACCCCAGATGCACCTCCCTCCCACACACATACCTCCATGGAGACACTGCCTGTCGTTTTGCCATCGTGAGTCGGCGTAAGGCCCACCAACCACTATGCACCCCTCCAAACTTACCCACCCCAGCCACACCTACCCCAAACCCACCTCCCTCGCACATACCTCCATGGAAACACTGCCTGTCTTTTTGCCGTCGTGAGTCAGCGTAAGCCCTACGACCTCGGGAATCTGGGTGTTTGAACCTGCGCACAGAGAGGGATGGAGAGGGAAGGAGAGGGTGAAGGGCAGTGAAGAGTGGTGGAGAGCAGTGGCGAGCAGTGGAGAGCGGTTTAGAGCAATGAGTGGACACGAAGGATGGAGACAAGTGGAGCGCCTAACACACCCTCACCCCCACCTTTGACCAAGCCAGTGAGAGCAATGGTGGTCGTGCCAAGCCACCCACACAGTCACCTTCACTCACACACCACATCCTCCTCAACCCCACCTTTGATCAAGTCAGTGAGGGCAATGGTGGCCGTGCCAACCACATAATCGTTAGTGTCGTCATCGTCATTGTCAGCATTCCAGTAGTGCAAGTTGATCTGTTGATGAATGGGGCGGCGAGAGGACAGAGAGGAGAGAAGGTAGGACTTTTGAGTCGATTCAAACGTCACCACACAATCGTTTGTGTCGCCATCGTCGTTGTCAGCATTCCCACCGTGCAAGTTGATCTATTGATGGGGCGGAGCGGTGAGGGGGCAGAGGGAGAAAAGGGAGGACTTTTGAGTCGACTCAAACGTCACCACACCATTGTTTGTGTCGTCATCGTCGTCGTTGTCTGCATTCCCACCGTGCAAGTTGATCTGTTGATGGGACGGTGAGTGGGCAGAGGGAGAGATGGAAGACTTTTGAGATGACTCAAGAGGCAGCACACGATCGTTTCTGTCTTCACCGTCGTTCAGCATCCCAACCGTGCAAGTTGATCTATTGATGGGGCGGACGGGCGGTGAGGGGCAGAGAGGAGAGAAAGGAGAGTTGCAGAAGGGAGGGAGAAAGCCAGGTTGATGAGACGGTGAGGGGGCAGAAGGAGAGAGAAAGACAGGTTGTCGCAACGCAACTGCCCTTGGAAATATATCCCAACAACATCAGCATCGTCAGCAGCATCAGCAGCACCGGCAGCAACAGCAGCATCAGGAGCACCAGCAGCATCTACGTCACGTCGGGGGAGGAAAGATTCACCTGGGACCAACAGAGCACCACCTGGGGCCAACAAAGCACCACCTGGGGCCAACAGAGCACCACCTGGGGCCAACAGAGCACCACTTGGGGCCAACAGAGCACCACCTGGGGCCAACAGAGCACCACCTGGGGCCAACAGAGCACCACCTGGGGCCAATAATGCAAAACCTAGGGCCAAGAGAGAATTACTGGATGACCTGAAGATAACCACCTGAAAGTAGGTGTCAGAGGGAGAAGCACGAGGCACCAGCAGCTGCAGTTGTTCGGACCGTGAAGCATTCTTTGGGCTGATAGTCAATTACCTGAAGGTAGGTGTCAAACGCTGCAGGATGAGGTTTGACACGTCGCAGTACCCACCTGCAGCAAGGTGTCAGAGGGAGAAGCACGAGGCACCAGCAGCTGCAGTTGTTCGGGCCACGATGGGTTCGTCAGGCTGGGTAGGGGAAGCAGGGAGGGGGGAGGGGGGAGGAGGGGAGGGCGGGTTACGGGTAGGCGGGGAGGGGTGGAAGTGGATGTAAATAACACTTATGAGACGTCTGAGTTTTGAGACGTCTGAGTTTTGAGACGTCCGAGTTTTGAGACGTCCGAGTTTTGAGACGTCCGAGTTTTGAGACGTCCGAGTTTTGAGACGTCCGAGTTTTGAGACGTCCGAGTTTTGAGACGTCGAGTTTTGAGACGTCTCAAAACACTTGTGTTATCACGGGGCACCATCCACAGCAGGATCCCTGGCACCAGCAGCTGCAGCTGCAGTTGCAGTTGCAGTTGCTGGCCCCATGATGGGTTCTTTAGGCTGAGGAGGAGAAGCAGGGAGGTGGGAGGGGGGGAGGAGGGGAGCTGGGTAGGTGGTGAAGGAGGGGTGGAAGAGAGGAATCAACTGGGTGAGTTGGTTAACGAGGCGCCAGCAGCTGCAGTTGCTGGCCCCATGATGGGTACTTCGAGCTGAGGAGAAGCAGGAAAGGGGGAGGGGGAGGCAGGCGGAGAGAAGACGAATTGTGGGCACGTGATATTGGCTGTGATGTGATGTGACCATAAATGCGAGGACGAATGCGAGAACGGATATGAGAATGAGTGAGAGAATGCGATGTGTCCATGCGAGTATGGCAGAGCAGCACAGAGCCGGCTCAAACTGGAGCCTTCATGCTGAGGGTGACGTGACTGATGGCATTCTGCCAAGGAATCTCCAAAAGACGAATGTGAGAATGAATGTGAGAATGGGACGTGTCCATGGGCGAGTGTGGCAGGGCAACACAGGCGCCAACTCACTTTTCAGCTTTGCTGGTGCAAGCGACGCCATTCCACGTGGCGGGCTTCCCTGCTGACGTCACCAGCGCCAGCTCAGCATGGCGCGCCATGATGTTCCCCTGAAGTATAGAGGATGGAGGATGGGGTGAGAGAAGGAGTAGAGTGAAGTGAATGAGAGAGGGGGTGAGAGAATGGGGTGGCTTGTGAGGCGACTCAAAAGTCGCCTCAGCTCAGCATGGCGCGCCTTTATCTTCCCCTGAAGCATAGAGGATAGGGTGAGGGGATCAGGATGGAATGTAGTGGCTTGTAAGTTGTATGAGTAAGTGAGTGAATGGGAGGGTTGAATGAGTAAATGAGTGAATGGAAGGGAGGAGGGAGTGATCAAGAAAAGAGTGAGTGAGTGAGGTCGAATGGGATAGTGAGTGAATGGAAGTGAGTGATTGAGAAAGTGAGTGAGTGAATGAATGGAAGTGGGTGAGTGAGTGAATGAGAGTGAGTGATGAGAAAGTGAGTGAATGAGCGAATGAACGACAAAGAGAGCAGATCACCACTCTTGAGAAATCATAAAGCTGGTACAAGAAGTGCTCGCACGAAGAGCTGCCCTTGAAAGTGCTCGAGTGCCAAACGACTGGAGGTGAAGAGAGGTGAAAGGGCGAATGAGGGAATGAGTGAATGAGTGAGAAAGGGGTTGAGTAGGTGGGAGATCGAGGGAGTGAGGAGGAAGTGGCAGTGTGGCATGACATACGGTGGCCTTCAGTGCTCGCACGGAGAGCTGCCCCTGAAAGAGCTCGTGGGCGAAGGGCGTGGAGGTGAAGCGAGCTTTGCACCCCTGGCCGTCCTTATCCGAGAGCTTATCGCTCCCCTGGGGGTATGGGAAGGATGAGAGAATGGAAGCTTTTGAGAAGGAAACATCACAGCACTAGCGCCCGTCTATGTCTATGGATCGTCAATTTGTGTTATCTAAATTAATATTATTATTGCTAATATTATAACTAATATACTTTATTTGGTAATATTACTGTTATTATTACCAATGTGTAATGAAATGTTCTGAACGACTTCTGAGACATCTCAAACGGTGCAGCATCCGGCAAAACCGCTGTCCTTATCCCTCCCCCCCACCCCCCCCCCCCCCTCCTCCCAGACCCCACAGCCACCTGCCTCGTCCATACCACCTTCCCTTGCTGCCTCAACCCACCATTATCTATCCCTCCTCCTTTTCCTTCCTCCATTGCCCCTCTCTTACAGTGGACCCACTAAATTCACCTTCTCCTCAAACTAGTATGAGGGCGAGGTCACCCTGATGTAACCTCAGGTTGCGAGCCTCCAAGAAACCTCAAACTAGCCAGCATGTACCCACACCACACCTGCTCCGGAGTCGAGTACGCCTCAAACGCGAATCCGCCCAGCAGCACGGCCAGCCGCAGGTCGACAGGGACGCATTGCGCCGCTTTTCCCGTCGCCACTCCCGTTGTGAGCGGGCTGAAGTTCGTCAGCGCGTTTTGACGCAACGGCGCGCCGTCGCCGGCCGAGGCGCCGCGATCGCTGCTGCTGGCAGAGGCAGAGGAGCCGCGGAGCGGAGTCGCCCTTGGCGGGCGGCTGCCGCGCGCCACCGCGGACCTCGGCGCGGCGGAGAGGCGGAGGCCGCCATAGGAGGAGGTTAAGCTGCAAAGAAGGGGACGGACGCGTCGTTGTGATATTGAAGTTCAACTTCAAGTTGGATTGGAACAATCCGAGTTGGATCATTGATCACGTCGTTGCGGATCTTGGAAAGCCAGCGCAATGTTTAGAGGCTGAATCCGATTTTTAGAATTCTCAAAAACTGATTTGACTCAAATCCAGTCGGACTGGAAGGTCACGGGCGGCGCCGGCGTAGATGAGAATTGGTGATAGTTCTCAGGGATACGCAGAGCGGTTCTAGTAATACTGGCGTATACCAAACGGAAGCTCTTATGACATAAGCCAAAGTACGTAAGAACTGCTACGTTCAAGCTCTAACGGCCGGTAATCGACCCCGCGTCCTGCATCGAGTGATCAGAATGTGTTCGGCTGATAGAGGAAAAATGTATTACCTTGACAGAGAGAGCTTGCATCGGGGATGGCGATCCAGTGGGGTCCCGAGAGCAGCAAAGGGAGAGAGCGACACGGAGGCAGCATGAAGCGACGCCATGGCGTGAAAGCTGTCTGTTGGACACGAGGATCTTCAAGCGAGAAAACCCCTGAGGGTGCTTCTAATCCAATGTGGATTGAGATTGAATAAGCGAAACCAGTGCGTTAGACCAGGGGAATGGGGGATGCTGATCGGCGGATTGATGATCTTCGCCATGACGACGCGCATGGTGTGCAAACTTTTGATTCGCGCAAGCGTGGCATTGAATTGCTGTCTGATGTGGGGCAGGGAGGATGAACTTCCCCCACAACCACGTGCCTGCCGGCGACTGACGTGGCGAGGTGTCTCAATTGCGAGGCGTAGCGACAAAAGAGTCCCTAATATATTGCCCGTGAGCGGAGGTAAGCCGGCCGCGTGGATGCTTCGCATCGCTACTTGCTAGCTAGAGACAATAATGGATGCCCTGTTGGCGACTGGCATGCTACTGCCAGGGATGCCGTATAATTTGAATTGTGGGTTTCCGTAGGAGATGGGTGGGGAACGGCGAAAGCGAAAATTCCCTTAGGGAAAAGTCTCCCTCGATTGTACACCGCACTATATGTGAAACGCGTAAATCCCGCCTACGGATGTGTCTGCGAGGCGCCAACAGAAGAAAGCCTAATGAATTGCCCGGCGCGAAAGAAAGCCGGCTGTGCTGTGGATGCATCGTTCGCCATGCCACTTGCTACTTACAACAAAAAAGGGAATTTCTGTTGGCGACTGCCTGTGCCTAAATCTGGATGAGAGTGACATGAAAATCTGAATTCTGGAAATTGCTGCTGAATGACTGCTGAAATGGGTGATGGTGAACGACTGGTTCTGAAAGGTTGCTGAATCTGGAGGGGAAGGCGGAAGGGAAGGTGGTGGGATGCGGCGGAAAAAATCAGCGCAAACTACCCGTTTCAGTTGCTTGGTGGTGGAGGGGAAGCGGGGAGGGGGAACGGGAGGGGGAAAGCCCTAGGGGATATGGCGGAATCCATGCCGTGCGGAGCGGTATAATCGAGGGAGTATCTCTGCTGGACGAGATTTTGCTTCCGCCGTTCTCTTCACTCGCAGCGCACCTTGGCTGGGGTGGGGAGGAAAGAAGATAGGATAAGGTTGTGCGCGCGCTGTTTCAAACCTGGATTTTGCCGCCATAACTCAACGATATCCCGATGGTTACGAAGGCAGCGTCTGACACCGGAACTGTACCGTTATTGGAGGATTCGTCATTGATACAAAGGGTGATGGTTAACAACTGGTCAATAACATTGGCTGGCAATGCAGCAGGTACATATAAACGTAATAGCTGCTCCCACAGGCAGCTAGCACAAACAGCAGGCAAAAAAATCAAGGGAGGAATAGAGAGGGTGACAGACCAGCACCATACACCCATTTTCCTCCTACCCCCCGCTTCCTCCCAACCCAACCCAATAACATAATATGTTACCATCAGCAAGGTGTAATCAATCGTTACCACTAACCAGGCATGGCAATAGCAACGCCATGCTTGGCTAGGTATCCTGAGGAGATCTAAACATCCTAGCTAAATGTTGGCTCCACCAATGGTATCATCCATAAGCTCTTCACAATACTGCCTTGTGACATCTGGCACATATGGGGGCGGAAGGAAGAGGCGGAGGAGGCATGGATTGTGGGTAGAGGAAGAGAGGTCACCATGGGGCATGGGACAGCTACCAGAAACTAGGCTTTCACAGCACAGCCATGCAACATGTGACACATAGGGAATTGAAAGAAGCTGCATCATGCTGCTGCTACCTATGATGCAACCACCCAGCACTGCACAGCACAGCACTCACTGTGTTGCACCGCACAACACCGCACCGCACCACACACTGCACTCACCGTGTTGCATGGTCAATGCAGGCTTGGGCTCTGAAAGAGTCCCAACCACCTTGGCTGGAGTTCCTGCGACCATGCTGCAAAAGATTTGGGGAGGGGAGGGTTGGGGGAATGCAGGGGTAGAGAGAGTGATGGGTGGGGGGAAGGGGAAGGGTGGGAAATGGAGAAGACTCAAGATTGCAAGTATCTGCAGGAAGATTTGACCAAACGTATGGTCTGATGGCAATTACACATGTGGAGAGGCACGTCTTTCAACACGAGCGAGCCAGCAGCAATCATGGAGCCCTGGCCGATGCGGATGCTGTGGATTTAAGGCAATGCATTGGCGCCATCAGCTATCAAAGGCATACCTGTGGGGTGGAACGTCCTTCAGCACGAGTGATCCGGCAGCAATCATGGAGCCTTGCCCGATGCTGATGTTGCCCAGCACGGTCGCCCCCGCTCCGATCAGCACATCCTCCTGCACCTTGGGATGCCTGTCGCCCGCTTCTTTCCCCGTGCCTCCTAGCGTGACGCCCTGGCAAATCACAGGGGAAGGAGAGGGTGGGTGGTGCAGGGAGAATGAGAGCGAGGGTGAGTACAGTCGCCCCCACCCCAATCAGCACATCCTCCTGCACCTTGGGATGCCTGTTGCCCGCCTCTTTCCCCGTGCCTCCCAGGGTGACTCCCTGCAGGAAGGCAAGGCGAGAGGGGTGGATAAAGGGGGTTACTACAGTGCCCCCTGCTCCAATCAGCACATCCTCCTGCACCTTGGGATGCCTGTCTCCTGCCTCCTTGCCTGTTCCGCCCAGAGTGACGCCCTGGCAGATAGAGGAAAGCACGGTGGATGGGAGGATGGTGGAGGGAGGGGACAACGAGCATGAGAGGGAAGACAGTCGCCCCCGCGCCGATCAGCAAGTCCTCCTGCACCTTGGGATGCCTGTCTCCCGCCTCCTTGCCTGTCCCGCCGAGCGTCACTCCCTGGCAGTCAGAGTAGAGCACACTTGGTGGGTGTTGGTGGTGGGTGTTGGTGGTGGATGTAGGAGAGAAAAAAGCTTAGTAATAACAATCACTCTAACCTGCAGCAATAACACCTATCCTACCCCCCACACAAATGCCTGAGACACATTCTCTTCCCCCCTACCTCACCTGCAGCAGCGACACCCTATCCCCCACGATAGCCGTCTCGCCAATCACCACGCCCGTGCCATGGTCCATCAGAATGCCTCGCCCGATGCGGGCTGCTGGGTGGATGTCCACTGCAAACACCTTGTGGGGGGGGAGATGGGGTGTTGGGGGGGAGGGGGGTATTGGGTGTGTGTGGGGTGCAATCACCACCCCCGTGCCATGGTCCATCAGAATGCCTCGCCCGATGCGGGCTGCTGGGTGGATGTCCACTGCAAACACCTTGTGGGGGGGGAGATGGGGTGTTGGGGGGGAGGGGGGTATTGGGTGTGTGTGGGGTGCAATCACCACCCCCGTGCCATGGTCCATCAGAATGCCTCGCCCGATGCGGGCTGCTGGGTGGATGTCCACTGCAAACACCTTGTGGGGGGGGAGGGGGGTATTGGGTGTGTGTGGGGTGCAATCACCACCCCCGTGCCATGGTCCATCAGAATGCCTCGCCCGATGCGGGCTGCTGGGTGGATGTCCACTGCAAACACCTTGTGAGGGGGGAGATGGGGTGTTGGGGGGGAGGGGGGTATTGGGTGTGTGTGGGGTGCAATCACCACCCCCGTGCCATGGTCCATCAGAATGCCTCGCCCGATGCGGGCTGCTGGGTGGATGTCCACTGCAAACACCTTGTGGGGGGGGAGATGGGGTGTTGGGGGGGAGGGGGGTATTGGGTGTGTGTGGGGTGCAATCACCACCCCCGTGCCATGGTCCATCAGAATGCCTCGCCCGATGCGGGCTGCTGGGTGGATGTCCACTGCAAACACCTTGTGGGGGGGGAGATGGGGTGCTGGGGGGGAGGGGGGTATTGGGTGTGTGTGGGGTGCAATCACCACCCCCGTGCCATGGTCCATCAGAATGCCTCGCCCGATGCGGGCTGCTGGGTGGATGTCCACTGCAAACACCTGGTGGGGGGGGAGATGGGGTGTTGGGGGGGAGGGGGGTATTGGGTGTGTGTGGGGTGCAATCACCAACCCCGTGCCATGGTCCATCAGAATGCCTCGCCCGATGCGGGCTGCTGGGTGGATGTCCACTGCAAACACCTGGGGGCATTCGGAGGGGTGTTGGGTTGGGGCCGGGGGGGAAAAGGAGGTGTTAGGTATGGGGGGGGGGGGGGGTGGTGTGTGCTGCCATCACATCACATAGATGCCCGTGGCATGGTCCATCAGAATGCCCCTGTCGATGCAGGCTGCTGGGTGGATGTCCACTGCAAACACCTGATGGGGGAAAAGAGGGCGGAGGGAGGAGGACGAGGAGTACAGGCTACAGCAGGGCAGGGTGAAACAGGGAGGAGGGGCAGGGTGAAACAGGGAGGAGGGGCAGGGTGAAACAGGGAGGAGGGGCAGGGTGAAACAGGGAGGAGGGGCAGGGTGAAACGGGGAGGAGGGGCAGGGTGAAACGGGGAGGAGGGGCAGGGTGAAACAGGGAGGAGGGGCAGGGTGAAACGGGGAGGAGGGGCAGGGTGAAACGGGGAGGAGGGGCAGGGTGAAACGGGGAGGAGGCGTAGGGTGTGAGCTGACTTTTAAGTCGACTCAAAAGCTGGGCAGAGGGAGGAGGACGAGGAGTACTGAGGAGGCAGGGTGAAACGAGGAGGAGGGGGAGGGTGTGAGCTGACTTTTAAGTCGACTCAAAAGCCGGAGCTGACTTTAAGTCGACTCAAAAGCCGGGCGGAGGGAGGAGGACGAGGAGAACAGCAGTGAGGAGGGGCAGGTGAAACGAGGAGGAGGGGCAGGGTGAAACGAGGAGGAGGGGCAGGGTGTGAGCTGACTTTTAAGTCGACTCAAAAGCTGGGCAGAGGGAGGAGGACGAGGAGTACTGAGGAGGCAGGGTGAAACGAGGAGGAGGGGGAGGGTGTGAGCTGACTTTTAAGTCGACTCAAAAGCCGGGCGGAGGGAGGAGGACGAGGAGAACAGCAGTGAGGAAGGGCAGGGTGAAACGAGGAGGAGGGGCAGGGTGTGAGGCACTGAGATTCCTACCTCGGAGATGCGCGACTGCAGGGCGAGAGCAAGGATGCGCTGGCCTCGGTTCCACAAAGCATGCGCGGTGGCGATGCGGTACGACTGCAGTGCAGTGGCTCCTCATGGAACTAAGCTTTGCTGGCATGGCGTATGTGCTTCTTACAGTGCGAGCGCCAGGATGCGCTGGCCGCGGTTCCACAAGGCGTGGCCAATGCGATATGACTGCAATGCCATGCCATGCCTCTCACAGGGGTGGCTGGTTGGTTCATCCTACCTCTGAGATGCGGGACTGCAGGGCGAGCGCCAGGATGCGCTGGCCGCGGTTCCACAAGGCGTGGCCAATGCGATACGACTGCAATGCCATGCCATGCCTCTCACAGGGGTGGCTGGTTGGTTCATCCTACCTCTGAGATGCGGGACTGCAGGGCGAGCGCCAGGATGCGCTGGCTGCGGTTCCACAAGGCATGGGCGTGGCCAATGCGATATGACTGCAATGCCATGCCTCTCACAGGGGGCTAAACTAAAATCTCCTGGTATCGGTGGTTGGTGGTTTCCTCCTACCTCTGAGATGCGCGACTGCAGAGGCGCTGGCCGCGGTTCCACAAGGCATGGGCGTGGCCAATGCGATATGACTGCAATGCCATGCCTCTCACAGGGGGCTAAACCCCACTCCACTGGTATCAGTGGTTGGGTGCTTCCTCCTACCTCGGAGATGCGGGATTGCAGTGCGAGAGCAAGGATGCGCTGGCCGCGGTTCCACAGGGCATGGGCGATGCGGTATGACTGCAATGCAGTGCCTCTCACTGCATGTTAAACCCCACTCCACTGGTATCGGTGGTTGGGTGCTTCCTACCTCGGAGATGCGCGACTGCAGGGCGATTTTTGAGGCGACTCAAAAAACGACTGCAGGGCGAGAGCAAGAATGCGCTGGCTTCGGTCCCACAAGGCATGGGCGATGCGATACGACTGCATTACAATGCCTCAAGGGGGCCTGAACCGCTGGGGTGAAGCCCACTGGTGGAATCTGTGCTTCCTTCCTCCTACCTCGGAGATGCGTGATTGCAGGGCGAGTGCCGGAATGCGCTGGCCTCGGTTCCACAGGGCATGGGCGATGCGGTATGACTGCAGAGCAGTGACTCTCGCGGGGGGATAAACTCCACTGGTATCGGTGGGTGGTTGGTTATCTACCTCGGAGATGCGCTGTGCGACTGCAGGGCGAGGCGAGGGCCAGAATTCGCTGGTCTCGGTTCCACAAGGCGTCGCCTTGTGAATGTGCTGGCACAAGGCAGATTTGACTGAGCCTGCTTTTGAGTCGACTCAAAAGCAGCCTCGGTTCCACAAGGCGTCGCCTTGTGAATGTGCTGCTGGCACAAGGCAGATTTGAGTGAGCACACTGGCAAAGCTACCCCATACCTCAGAGATGCGTGACTGCAGGGCGAGGGCCAGAATTCGCTGGCCGCGGTTCCACAGGGCATGGGCGATGCGGTATGACTGGAGCGCGTGGTAGCCCTGGGAAGAACCAAGTATGGGAAATCATGGGGTCAACGGGTTTGGCGGGGGCAATGCGGTTCAGGAGTGGGCGATGCAAGGCAAGGTGGTACGATCAAAAGACATGGTAACCGCAAGGGCAGGGCGAGTCAACCAAAACAGCAAAGCAATTGCTTCTGAAAGAGATAGAGGAGGGGGGGGAGTAGGGGACGGGGGCATGGAGGGAGGAGCAAGGACAGAGGGGGATGTTGAAAGGCACTTCTTCATGGAACAATAAAGGAAGAGAAGAGAAGAAAAAGAAATACGGTAATTTTCCCCTGCCCATTACAATTTTCCTCCATTCCACACCACACCCAGCCCCTCCAACACCTCCCAGCACCACTCTCATTACCGTACAGCAGAACCCACCTTGATCTCTCACCTTGTAATAGAGGAGCGCATTGGAATATGAGCGGCAGGAGGGATCCCGGTCACGCACGGCCTGGCCAACCAGAGCAGAGAAAAGCAATGAAGGGCATGCGAGGGGCAATGAAGGGCATGCGAGGGGCAATGAAGGGCATGCGAGGGGCAATGAAGGGCATGCGAGGGGCAATGAAGGGCATGCGAGGGGCAATGAAGGGCATGCGAGGGGCAATGAAGGGCATGCGAGGGGCAATGAAGGGCATGCGAGGGGCAATGAAGGGCATGCGAGGGGCAAAGAATGGATGGAATGGATGGGATGGGATCAAGTGGGATGGCTGGAACGGATGGATGAAGAGTTGTGAAATGCGATGGGATGGGATGGGATGGGATGGGATGGGACGAAATGTGGCATGGGTGGAATGGGATGAAGCGAAGGAAAGGCACGGCATGGCAGGAAGATGGGTCCACATACGACAGGCAGGAACTGCACAGCACAGGCACCAGCAACTGGACCATCACAGGCACACAGCACAGGCACCAGCAACTGGACCATCACAGGCACACAGCACAGGCACCAGCAACTGGACCATCACAGGCACACAGCACAGGCACCAGTGGCCGATTCACAAGCAACTATCTATATACACTCCTTCCTCGGTACCGAACCGCATTACTATTATTAGCAGCCACCCGCACTATTATTTATATCTCTTGTGTTCTGTTCCTAATACGACAGCAACCCTCGCTGTACCATTTGAATCATGCATTCCGTGTAGCCGTCTGACTGCGAATGGTTTCTGGAGTTCAGCCGTTGCATGATATCAAATTCTGCCAAAAACTTCTCAAAACGCTCCTTCGAGTTCTAGCAAGAGCGAGCGGTGCACTGATACGCGGACAGAATGAATTTAACGAGATTTAAGGAGGGTTTAAAGTGCTGCTGGCAGAGTGTGATAAGTCGATTTTTGAGTCGACTCAAAAATCGATTTAAGGAGGGTTTACAGTGCTGTTGGCAGATTTCGAAATCATGCAACGGCTGACCTCCATTTGAGTCGACTCAAAAGCCTTCTGAGTCAACTCATAAGCGTTCAAAATGCTGCTGGCAGAGTTGGATATCATGCAACGGCTGACCTCCATTTGAGTCGACTCAAAAGCTTTCTGAGTCAACTCATAAGCGTTTAAAATGCTGTTGGCAGAGTTCGAAATCATGCAGCGGCTGACCTCCAAGTACCATCCGCAGTAAGGACGGCCTCACGGAAAGCATGATGCAAATGGTATGCCGAGGGTTGCCGGCTGTATGGGAAACAGAACGAGAGGAGTTGAGATTTGGAGCTATCGTGGGTGCTGATGAGCTACCGTTTTGTTAAGAACGCAGCACTGAAGGATCTCTCCTCGTACTACCTGTTTTACGCACAGGAGCTTGTGTTGCCAGCAGAAGGCCCACGGCTGCTGCAGCAGGAGCCTATCAATTGCGACGCCAGCAGCAGCAGGCACTTACCTGCACCCCCCTACATAGTAGCCCATCCATCAGCTCAGCGTCCTTACACACACACACACACACACACACACACACACACACACACACACACACACGTGTCAACGTACACACACACCACTGCACGTCCTTACACACACACATGCCAACCTACACCCACCTGCACGTCCGCCCTAATAGCGGCTCTGATATTGGGCAGCATGAGCACCGAGTCAAACACGTCCATCAGCTGCGTCGCCAGCAGCGTCACGTTCTGCAGGCGGTTGGCCAACACGAATCCCAGAGAGCGCTCGAAGCACGAGTGGGCAAGGATGGACGCGTACAGGAAGCTGCTGAGGATGGGCTCTCGCTCAGCCTGCAATTACATACAAGGTGGGGGAGGAAGAAGAGGGGGGAAAGGGGATGGAAGGGTGTGGGAAAAGTCAGCAGCGTCACGTTCTGCAGGCGATTGGCGAGCACGAACCCAAGGGAGTGCTCGAAGCACGAGTGGGCAAGGATGGACGCGTAGAGGAAGCTGCTGAGGATGGGCTCTCGCTCAGCCTGCTCGATATAGAGAAGAGAATGGGAACGGGAAGAGGGGGAGAGGGGGAAAGGAGAACGGGGGAACGGAGTGGAGAGGGCGAAAGGAAGCGGGATAAAGGAAGGAGAGGGAAGGAAGGAGCGAAAGGAAGCAGGGTGAGGGAGAACCAGGCACCACCTGTAGCCCCTTTGCTCCCCCTTCCTCCTTCCCTCCCCACGCCTCTCCCCCCGTCTCCCCTCCCCCCCCCCCCCCCCACCCCACCTAGAGCCTGGCCTCCGAGCGGATGGCTGCCCAGATAGGGTCGCTCATTGAGTGGTTCGCGCTCTCATTGCTCCCCCTTCCCCCTTCCCTCCCCCCACCTCTCCCCTTCCCTCCACCCACCTCTCCCCCCATCTATTCCCCCAACCCGCGTACCTCCAGCCTGGCTTCCGCGCGGATGGCCGCCCAGATGGGGTCGCTCATCGAGTAGTCCGCCCCTCCGCGCGCCCCCGAATCCATCCCCATCGCCCCCGCCATCGCCCCCATGCCTCCCCCCATCGCTCCCCCCATTCCTCCCCCCATCCCGGCGCTCCCAGCCTCCGCTCCCTCCCTCCCTCCCGCGCGCATCCCCCTGCCGGCCGCGCCGTTTGGACCCGCGCTCGCAGGAGCGGGCCACGTGGCGGGCCGTGATACGTCGTCCCAGGGGAGGGGGTAGGACGGAGGAGCTTGGCTGCGGCTGTGCATGTAAGCGGGAAACATCCACGCGGGGTCAACGTCTACACGACTATTACTAGTATTATTATTATTATTATTACCACTACTGCTATTATTGGTGTACGCGCCGCGTAATCCTGTCCATTCGTCGTCCATCGACGGTTGTGAGGGTGGTGAGGAGGAGAAGGAGGGGGGAGAAGATGAGGAGTTCACGGAAGGTTGTTGCTTGTCAGACGGGAGCGGCCTTCGCGGCGGAATGGACGAAGGGTCGTCTGCAGGGGGGCTGCTGTCGGGCATTTTGGTCGCACGAACTCGCTGGTGCTGTCGTCGTCGCACGGGTTGTCGCACGATGCGAAGCCTGTTTGTTGGGTTGATCAGCCCGACCGTCTCGAGCGATGCGTTGTGGTTCGATACGGTTTGGTGCGGTGAAGTGCAGAGCGACGCAGTGCGGTTCGACATGGTGAAGTCCCTAGCGCGAGCTGTATGGAGAGGCGACGCACGGAGCGAAGTGCTGCCGAGGGCCGCCATGGTGACACGTGGCGAGATACGAATCTTATCGCGCTGACGTGGCGAGTTACACGACAAGGAACAACTAAGAATCACGTAACGCGACTAAGAAGAAAATATGCGAGCTAAGAATGACCTCCTACGCTCTAGCGGTGGTTCTGGTATTCTATGTAACAAATAGAAGCGGAAAAAAAAGTCGTCTTGGTCAAAACTTGCTCACCGCGAAACTTAGGTCACTGGGTCACGTCAAAATTACTACGCGTATGGTGCTGCTGGTTCCTAAGAAACTGCTGTGCGGAATGCTGCCACATTTCACACCGCTGGCGGCGGCGATTATCCAT